TTGTCTTGAGTTCTTTGAGTTGTTCTAGCAAGTTACTAAAACTTGAGATGGTAGTATGGGAACCTTTAAATTTATAGCCAAGTTAGTCAGATGTGTGGGTAATGTTGGGGACTCGATACTTGCAACTAGCGTCTGATTGAGTCTTGTGGGACTAAGCCCTTAAACCTGTGTAGGCCGAAGCCACCTTCAGGTAGTTAGTGTCAGAATTGAATTGTAGGATACCTCATTGGTATCAAAGAATCAGAGAATCAGAGAACTAGTTGTTGATTCCATACCACATTTTGGAACGGCAAAAGAAAGAAATGAAGTACTGATGCATGCTACAAAATGGATAAACCCTGAAAACACGCTAAGTTAAAGAAGACAATCACAAAAGATCACATGTGCAATCACATAAACACCGACAGTAGACTACTGGTTGCCTAAGGCTAAGGAGGAGCTTAGAGTGACTGTTAATAGGTGAAGAATTTCTTTTGGGGGGTAACAAAAATGTTCTCGAATTAGACTGTGGAAATTGTTGCAAAACTCTGTGAACATACTAAAAACCACTGAATTGTACACTTTGGGTAAAATGTATGGTATGTGAATTCTATTTCAATAAAACTGTTTGTTTTTTAAATATACTTTTATTGATTTCAGAGAGGAAGGGAAAGGGAGAGATAGAAACATCAATGATGAGAGAGAATCATTGATCAGCTGCCTCCTGCGTAGCTCTTATTAGGGATCAAGCCAGCAAACTGGGAATGTGCCCTGACCAGGCATCGAACTGTGACCTCCTGGTTCATAGGTTGACACTCAACCACTGAGCAACACCTGCTGTGCTCAATAAAACTGTTTTTAAAAAGAATGTTATAGCCCTAGCTGTTTTGCTCAGTGGATAGAGCGTCGATCTGCAGACTGAAGGGTCCCGGGGTCAATTCCAGTCAAGGGCAGATGCCCGGGCAATGTCGCCGGGTCACAGTGCAGGGGCTGAGTTCTGCAGGGCCCCCAGAAGGTGAGGGCCAGAGCTGGGGTCTGAACGGGGTCCCAGGCTGGCCAGCAACAGCCGTGGAGTGTGCCAGGGTTATGTCTTTCCCTTCTCTATGAAATCAATCAAAAAATATTTAAAAATAAAAAATGTTATATAAATGGAATAGCAAAGTGTATAATCTTTTGGGATTAACTTTTTAATTCACACGAATTCTCTGGAGATTGATCCAGATTGTTGCGCATATCAATACTTCATTTTCATTGCTGAGCAGTATTCCATTGTATGGACGTACCACTGTTTACATTATTTTTAAAATCAATATTGAATGAAAATGAGCATCTTTTAAGATATTTATTAATCAACTGCTATTTTTCCCCCTGTGAATTCTTTTCATATCCTTGGCTCCTTTTCCTACTTCACCATTCTTTTACGAGTCCTTTGTCATAGTATAATAAATTCTTTGTCTCAACTTCGCTTATGATAATTTTTGCAATGCAGCTTTTTATTTTTATGCAGTATTATTCTACATTTTCTTCTAATAATATCTTATGGTGGCATTTTTCCATTAAAATCTTTAATTTATTTTAGCACAAGAAATTAACAAGTTGAGTCTTTGGATCCACTAGCAGTGTGATGCAGTAGAAAGAAAGCCCATGAGGCTAGAAATCAGGAGACTAGGGTTCTAGTACTGCCTGTGCTATTACCTAGCTAAAGCACTCTGAGCAGGTTACTGGTCTATAAAACTTGCTTTTTCTACTTACGAATGTTTTGAGAAACAAATAAGATTATACATGTAAAACAGATGCTCCAAAAATGTTCCACAAACATTTGAACCTATTAATATGTAAAAAAAATTTATATATATATTTGTATTGGTTATAATACTATTTCCTTTCTATGTGCATAAATGGAAAACTCACAATGTTAGCCTTAGGGAGTAAGTATCTTGCCCCTCCCCCAACCCCAAAACCAAAGAGGTCAAGTGACTTGCCTGGGGTCACAGGTTAAATTTGGGGAAGAGCTGGTTCCAGAAGTGAACCAAAGTAGCTATACACCAACCCTCCCTCCAAGTCAGAGAGCACCATTCTTCTGAGTTATGATATGCTAAAAATTAACTGTCATCACTTGTCTGTATTCATATCTCTACACAAAAACAAAACTACCTAAAAATGTAGAGCCTATAATTAGGATGTGGTGGGGTGACAGCAAAGGCAATGCGGTGGGAAGACTAAATTTCAAGTTATAGGCTCCCACCTTGCTTCCGACAGCCTGGGATTTTGATAAAGGCTCCATAGTCTGTCACCATAGCAACCTATAAAGACAAAAAGGAAAATCAATGTCTCACAAATGAGTCTCTCTTCTGTAGCATTTAACCTAGTCTCCCTGAATTTCTACTTGATATTGACTGCCTGTCTGCCTGCTGCAAAATTGCCTAACAGTGATGTTCTGTCAAACATTTTTATTCTGTAAAAAATTTAGACAAGTATGTGTGAACTCATTAAAAACATTGGTGAGATTGGACTATTGTCAGATGCTATGACAGTACCCAGTAATGCCCGAATCCCACACCAATTAAAATCTCCAAAGTATGTGAACAAAAGGAACAAACAGCAGAAAATCAGGTAATAAAGTTACACTTTCTACTAGCTGGAACTGACACCTCCAATCCCAATTCAGAGAACTCTAATAATATGGGACAGATCATGTAGGACACTCCTTTTTCCTACTTCAAATCAAACCAGACCAAACAGCCTATAGTTGTATGGTTAGTTCACTTCAAACCAGAGTCTGAGTTTTATCAAGATAATAAGAGAAAAAGCCAATTTTTGAAACAGAAAAGATATAATCAGAGAGAAAAAGAGTTGTCCTCAATTCTTATACAGAGTTGACCTAAGATGGATGAGGGGTTAGAGGTTTGATCAGTCTATGTACTGTATAGTACGTAATACTAATGAACAACCCAGATCCCTTGCCAGGTAATTCATTATTCCAGACTACCTCTCTCCTCCCCTCTTTCTTCTAGCTCACCCTTCTCACACGTGGATTGGGATTAAAGTTGTCACTACATACTATATTTATCTTAAATTCATTATTATTTTTATAAAATATCCAATACAATCTTATACGTATAAACTTTACTCTTTTCAATGACTTTAATTAGTTGTTCACTGTTTCAGCTTCACAACTATAAGGAGATAGAATAAGACAACATCTGCTGTACTGCTATTCACTAATATATAATTAACTAGAGGCCTGGTGTACTCAGGGGGTCCCTCAGCCTGGCCTGCACCCTCTCACAGTCTGGAACCCCTCAGGAATGTCCACCTGCCAGCTTAGGCCTACTCCCCAGGGGATCGGGCCTAAGCTAGCAGTCAGACATCCCCCTGGCCACCTGGGAGCCCTCAGGGGATATCCAACTGCGGCTTAGGCCCGCTCCTGTGGGCCTAAGCCGCAGTCAGACATCCTTAACGCTGCTGAGGAGGTGGGAGAGGCTCCCACCACCACCCCTGCACTCACAGCCATCAGTCCGGCTTGTAGCTAAGCAGAGCTCCCCCTGTGGGAGCGCACTGACCACTTGGGGGCAGCTCCTGCATTGAGCGCCTGCCTCCTGGTGATCAGTGTGCATCATAGCAACTGGTCGTTCTGCAGTTAGGTTCAATTTGCATATTACCCTTTTATATAGGAACTAGAAGCCCAGTGCATGAAAATTCACGCATGGGGCTGGGAGGGTCCCCTCAGCCCAGCCTGCATCCTCTCCAATCCTGGAACCCGTGGGGGATGTCTGACTGCCGGGGATCGAGTCGGACATCCCTCTCACAGTCCTGGACTGCTGACTCCTAATCGCTCACCTGGCTGCCTGCCTGGTTGTCCCTAACAGCCCCCTCCCTGCCAGCCTGGTCCCTCATAACTGCCGCCCCTGCCGGCCTAGTCACCCCTTATTGCAAACCTCATTGCCCCCAACTGCACCCCTCTGCCAGCTTGGTCACCTCTAACTGCTCCCCCCCACTGGCCTGGTTGCCCTCAACTGCCCCCCCCCCCCCAGCTTGGTCACCCCTTACTGCCTCCCCCGCCCCCAGCCCGGTCGC